CCCCTTCTCCCTCCCCTTCTCCCTCCGAAACGGGCCCGGTGCAAACTGCACAGAACGGGGGAGGCAACCAGGCACCCGGCTCTCCCAGCACCTCTTCCTGCCCTCAGGTTGGAGGGTGGCAGGGAGTGGGGTGAGGCCCAGACATCCTATGGGCACTGGCAGGCAAGGCAGGGACCTCAGGGGCTTAGCGAAGGGGCTATGGCTGAAGAGCTCTCCCCTAGGGAGCAGCAGTGAGCCCTGTTCCCAACAACTGCGGGGTGGTGCAGGAGCTCGCTCTCTCTCTCTCTCTCTCTCCTTTTCTCTCTCTCTCTCTCTTTCACACACACACACACACACACACACACACAGACAGCGTGCCTACCCGTGGATCCGGTTTGGGGGAGTTCCCAGGGCCTGTAAGGAGACACTGGACACATGTAAGAGGGCTAGGAACAAGCGCTCCCAGGAGGAAGGCACTACGTCAGCAATTTCACTGTCAGGATAAGGATGCGGGATTTGAAGAGAGTAGAGTCCAGAGCTCAGCTCTGGAGGTGAGTGAGGGGGTGAGAAGAGGGAGGTAAAGGTGAGGGGTCGGGGCAGCCGTGGAGAATCCCAGGAGGCAGGCATTGTTTTGTTTGGTGTGGCTGGAGGCCCACTCTAGGGAAGTGGCAGAGAGTTTGGACTTGAACCCAAATCCCAACTCCACCACTGGCATGGCCTAGGCAAGCTGCCCGGCCGTCATTCTCTTACCTGTATACACTTTATAGGACCACCGTGAGGATAAAATGCGAACGTGAATGTAAAGTGGGCCTCAACCTATGGCCAGAGCGATTGCTACCCTGGCAAAGGAGGCACATAGGGGTTCAAGGTGCCCACCCCCTCCTCCTGAAGAGTATGTTCCCAGAAGCTGAGCCAGACTCGGAGCCTTTGGGATTAGGATTCCGTGATCCCACTCCTCTTTGGATGCTTGCATCCGGGAAGGTATGTTCAAATGGCACACAGAAGTTCTATCACGGCTTGTTTTAAAACTCTAGTAGTAGCCAAGCTGGTGTTGCTCAGCAGTTGAGCATCGACCCAGGAACCAAGAGGTCACGGGTTCCACTCCTGGTCAGGGCACTTGCCCAGGTTGCAGCTTTATCACCAGTAGGGGACATGTAGGAAGCAGCAGGTTGCTGATGTTCTTCTCTCATCCATGTTTCTATCTCTCTACACCTCTCCTTTCCTCTCTCTCAAAATCAATAGAAACATTTTTTAGAAGTCAGATTTTTAAAAAAAATAAAATAAAAACTCTAGTAGTAGTGGTAGCTGTTATTCATGAAGGCTCATCTATTTGGGACGTTGTGGTAGGTACTTTACATGTATTGTCTCTAAGCCTCACAAAAACTCTGCAGAGCAGCAATGAATTAAGTCCACTTGGCTAATGAGGAAACTGAGAGGTAAATGCCTCCTGGAGGCCTCTAGTTGGTATGTGCTGGGATCCCCAAAGGCCAGAGCTCCTTCTCACACACTTTCTCTCTGGCCAGTGTGTAGCTCTCTTGTAGTTCTTAGCTCATTCTTTGTGACTAAGCACAATTATTTGTGTACTTAGCCTCAAATCTTTCCTAAAAAGAGGTGAGGAATATTTACAGACACGAACATTTTAATGATTAGGACGTTCATTGGGTTCTGGACATTGTTCTTCATTAGGTTACAAGACCAGGTAAACCAGTTAAGCCATATTGTCACTAGGGTCACATCATAATTTCACATCTTTGTCTCCAGGGTGACTGCCTTGTCGTACAGTTCCCATCCCCTCCCGCAGCAGCCTGCTGAGCACACTTACCTCCAGTGCTAGGATGTCAAGACAGGTACACTGTCATCCATTTCATTGACACCCCTAAACCGCCTTGCGTACATGACCTGGCAGACAATGCTTGAAACTATTACCTAACAACCCTGCCTGCTAGCCCTGCCGCTGGGAGGAGGGGTCAGGCCAAGGCTGGGCTCTGCTAACAGAACACTTTGGCTAGAACCACTTACCATTCTGCCACTCCATTCCTTTTTCTTTTCCTCACTTACTCCCTCACTCCCACTCCACCCTGGTCCCCAGTTCCAGAGGACAGGAAAGCCTGGGTACAGGCAGGCAGCCAGATGGGGGCCTTATCGGGTCATAACAGAAGGAAGTGGGAGGGGTTGGGGCAGAGGCAGGCCTAGGCAGTGGAGGGGCATGACATTCTTGCCCCGCACTCCACCCCTGAACACTAGCAAGTTTCAGCCCAGTGGTTTAGAGTAGGAAGTAGTCCCATCAGCCTCATTTGCACTCATTTCTAGCAGCTCTGGAAGAAATGGTAAAGGGGACTTGGGGGCGGATGGCAGGATGAAGGGCGTCAAACCGGGAGGGGACATCGTGTTGTCCCAGTGCAGAGGGGAAAGGTAAGATCTAACCACCCAGCTCTCACCTGCAGGTGCCTTTGCAGCATGAAGGAAGTAGCTCCTTCCCCTTGTCCTGCAGGTGGTGACTCCCAGCAGGGCTGGTACCGGCCATGCCAGAGGCTGGGGCGACACGGAGCTCGCTGGGGACCCACAAAGGGGTTCTGTTGGGAGTTCTTTAAGTCTCCAATAGGGAGAGTGAGTAGGGAATGGGGCCAAACTCTACTGTGACCCGGCTTCAGGCCCCTGGTTCTAATGACTGGTGCGACCCAGGAGCACACGGGGCATTCAGCTGACACCAGTTCCTATGGCTCAGTGAGTGGAGCCCCAGGTAGGAAGGCTTCCACATACTGGCTGCTACCATTTCCTTGTGTGAACAACCTCTGCACCTCCCGCTCATCCTGAAACCTTGCCATGGATCATTCTTCCGGGGCTTCCCCTAGAGCAGCAGTTCTCAACCTGTGGGTCGCAACCCCTTTGGGGGTCGAACGACCCTTTCACAGGGGTCGCCTAAGACCATCGGAAAACACATATATAATTACATATTGTTTTTGTGATTAATCACTATGCTTTTTAAAATATACTTTATTGATTTTTTACAGGGAGGAAGGGAGAGGGACAGAGAGAGACATCGATGAGTGAGAAGCATCAATCAGCTGCCTCCCGCACATCCCGTACGTGTGCCCACGACCAAGGTACATGCCCTTCACCAGAATCAAACCTGGGACCTTTCAGTCCACAGGCCGACGCTCTATCCACTGAGCCAACTGGCCAGGGCCACTATGCTTTAATTATGTTCAATTTGTAACAATGAAAATACATCCTGCATATCAGATATTTACATTACGATTCATAACAGTAGCAAAATTACAGTGATGAAGTAGCAACGAAAATAATGTTATGGTAGGGGGTCACCACAACATGAGGAGCTGTATTAGAGGGTCGCGGCATTGGGAAGGTTGAGAACCACTGCCTTAGAGATTCTTTCCCAATTTAGTCATTGCGGAAGAATGAATTGTTCATTGCCTAAGGCCAGGATCATTAACATCAACTAGAGGATGGCTGCAGGGCTCTGGAAAACTGGTCCATGATGTCATTCAATCAAGTGAGAAGCCCCGAGGCGGAAAGAAAGCAGAGGCTACTGGACTTTTTAAAAATTAAAAGAAGCACGGGTGCATCTAGAATGAAAAGTCTTTGGCTAGTGTAAAAAAAAGAGACCTTTAATGAAATTGTTCATTGTTATTAGGTCTATTGGTTAGTAAATGTTTATCATCATTAGAAATCCAAGCTTTATTGCTATGATAGGTTTTCACCTAACTTCTAAATATACATAATAAGGTAAGAGTTCTTGACGAGTGAGCCTACTTCCAAAATCGGCGTAAACAGAGTTTACACTGGCTAGAACCCTAGGGCGGTTCAGTGGGTGTGCTTGCTCCCATTATTTGGCTGTGGCTTTCTGGAACCTGGACTGATGGTGATACCTGGGGTGTCAGAGGCAAGTGCAACCTCTGTGGGAAGGAGTGGGAGGTTGAGAAGCAGCACCTGCCTCAGGCATGGGGGGAGGTAGTATCGCACCAATGCTGGGTAATTTGCCAATCATACCAACCCAAGGCATCACTGTTAGCATCTAAACAGCCCACGTGTCTTAATGAGCTATAAGTAATATTCTTCACAACAAGTAAATGAGTTGAAGTCAAGATCAGAGTCCAGCCTGGCTGGCATGGCTCAGTGGTTAGCTTCTACCTATGAACTAGGAGGTCACAGCTCAATTCCCAGTCAGGGCATGTGCTGGGTTGCAACCTCAGTAATGGGCATGCAGGAGGCAGCCCATAAATGATTCTCTCTCATCATTGATGTTTCTCTCTTTCTCCTTTCCTCTCTAAGATAAATAAAAATATTTTAAAAAGAAGGAAAGGAAAGAAGGAAGGAAGGAAGGAAGGAAGGAAAGAAGGAAGAAAAAGATCACAGAGTCCATTACATTGACTTGCCTGTGATGTTGGGGCCCTGAAATTGCTTTTTGAAAGGCATAAGAATGAGAAAATGCCATGGAGTAATAAAAAGTAAAAGGAGCAGATAACCGATGTAGTT